CGGTGAAGGCAGGTACAACTTGCCAAGAAACGAGATATCTGCAGCAATATGAACATGGAAGGACACAAGAGCTCAGCAGCAATGCAAACATACAGAATCAGTTTCCACTGGATAGAAGGATCATCAACATCAAAACTCAGGCAATGCAGGCGAAAACTGGGCAACGACCTTAAATGACATGAGGCTCAGACAGAGGACTAGCTACACTACAGTGCTTCACCTGAGAGATGTTGCTTGCATCTATGGTGCTGATCAGTGGCTCCTGCAGCTTAGACAACATCCAGTTGGGGTTCTTCAACGGCTGCTCAAGCACATACCGTGCTACACCGCCATAGTAAGTGTAGAGTTCCTCCACAGTCGCCTCTGGCACTGCACTATACATCTTGCTGCGGGCACATTTATGGTGCGAGGGAAAGCAAGTAACAACTTTTACTGTTTACACGCGGGACAATTGGCAACAAGTGCAGTTTAGTTAAGGGCCTAGCTCCCACACCACCCGTCCCACACCCAGCACCTGCGGCAGTCAAGCAGCTCCTTAAGCTCCCAGAAAGGCATGTACCAAGTCACAGCTACTGCCTTCCTCATCTCCTGCAGCCCGAGGGAGGGAGGGGTGACAGTCCTTCATTCTGATCTTCCTAGTTCATAAGGGACAAATAACTTTAGATGGCAACTTATGGGTGAGTAGTCCTGGATGCTGCATGCCAGGTGCACAAGCAAGGTCAGTGTATGACGGTACGCCTTCTAGTTCCATCTGGGCCCAAGATGCCTACCTTCATGGTCGTTTTCTTGGGTGAGGTCAACAGCACGATGTGCACTGCAGGGGCGGTGTCTGGCGACACCCCGTCGGCAAGTACCTGACAGGTAAGGTAACGAAGTGTCAAGGACATAATGAGCCCAATGAATCTGCTGGACAAAGAGCAGACCACGGCCTGTAAGCACATCATCAGCCCCCTGTCAGGGCACATGTATGTATATATTAGATTACACTGTGGTTTATGTTATAAGAATTACTAGTTTCATTCCAGGGAGTACAAGACACCCAAAAAGACAGGCGCGAATTTTACCGCGTGGAGCTTTGGAAGTGAAACCAAAACAGCCTCTCACTTTAAAATGCCTTCATTTGCCGCCGGTCTGAGACTTACAAGGAGCTTGACCAGCCACAACTGCGCGTAAAGTGTTGTGTTTAAAGCTTGGAAGAGCACAAGTAGTCACCATGGATGCCGTCGATAATCCCACTGGCGCAGCTGTGGATGGCAGCGGATGCCGCATTGCCACGGCTGCCACCCCCCTTACGGAGGACAAACCGACAATACTCAA